AAGTTATTTTTATCCTAGAACAAGCCAGCGACTTGTGCTTTCATTGTATTATCCATTATCAGTGGCTTTTAGAGGCAACAGACAGGTTCCAAGCCAGAGACTCTCTAACTGTTCTAATCCCTACATGTGTCTGGTACAATCCACTATTTTGATTGTTTCTAAAACACAAAATTAAAACCATATATTACCCAAAGGAGAGGGGAACGATGAAAACAAACACCTTCTACAAGTCCTGAAAGACACATTAACCAAATTTAATTTTTCAAGGGGAGAATTTATAGCTCTTTTAGCACCAAATCAACTGTTGACCCTGAAAATAAAACTTACTAAATGGATGAGGATAACAAGGTTGGGTTCAGGAAAGTTCTAAAGAAAGAAAATATCAATTCAACACACTGGCCATTTGCTATTAGTATCATTTGAGGCAGATTAGTACTGTGACAAAGGTCATCCCACATTCATTTATACCACATGATATTTCTGGGCAATGAGTACCACAGCACCATTTGTAATTCTGTCTAACAGATAAGGCCCAGAATACTGAGTGTCATTAGTGACAATGAGATCTATATCACGTAAAAGGATTCAGGATGCAAGAAAAGTCCCATAACCATCTTATTTACTCTAGGACTTTTTGCTGGCTGTTTTTTAGGCTGCTATTGCAAGGCAAATGATACTGCCTGTTGAGGATGGCATCTGTTAAGTACATTTCAAGAACAGAGAAATGAACACAATAGAGATATACTATTCAATATATTCATTCATGCTTTTTTTATCCATTATAAATAGATATATTTATCCAAATACACTTACTTCTGATAGATTTGCGATTTCATCAACATGAGTACTCTCTGTAATGATGCATTCTTGTCCATATCTTCCCATAAATCCTTTACAGGACATCTATCTGAAGAACTGGAGGGCATTCTCTAGCTCAAGACCATGAATACCAATACCATATGAATACCAAAGGAACATAAAGTTCTCTATTGGTTATCTGTTTCTTGAAGAAAACTTACCCACTTTCTTTCCTCAAAACATATCACTCCAATGATATCTTATTTGCCACTTTTCCCTGCACAGTTCATTGGTAATATGTCACAGCCCTTAATGTGACCTTTAATTCTTCAGAAACTATGATATTGCTTGAATGCATACCAAAGACATTTGCCATCATCATGGAGGAAGTCCAGTACAGACTCCAAATGGAAGAGGTTATCATGGGAATAATATTTACTACTGGTGAGACTATTGGTACACTGCAAAATATTGCTACTTTACCTAACATTATTGGCTTTTGGAAGGGAAAATTGGCATATGCATAACATCTGAGGATATTTTGGCAATTTTTCCTATAATCAAGAAAACAGTATTTTTCACTTTCAGAGTAAATAGCATCAAGTCCTATTAAACCTTTAGTTTAAGGTACAGGAAGAGTGAGTTCTAAGCTATCCTCTAACTCAAAGGAGGTAGAAGAGGGAAATAAAAGGAATATTCACACATTGTAAAACCAGATAAAAGTTCTTGAAACTAACATTCAAAATTTTGGTCATCATATCATTCAGCAAATACTATTCAGACCCAACTCCTACAGGAGATATCTATCTATCTAGATATATACATATATAGAGAGATAAATATCTCCTCTCTATATAAAGACAGAAGAAGACAGCTAGCTGGCTCAGTGGATAGGGCCTGGAGCCAGTAAAACCTGAGTTCAAATCCTGCCTCAGACACTAGCTATGTGATCCTGGGCAAGTCACTTAACCATCTTTGCCTAATTCCCTGGAGAAGGAAATGGCAAATAAGTTTTTTATCTGCAGTATCTTTACCAAGAGAACCCCATATGTGATCACAAAGAGACACAACTGAACAGACATCTTCTATCTAAATATGTCTACACATACACACACACACACACACACACACACCCTACAGTGTATTTTTACGTGGTATCTTGGGGTCAACTCAAACTGGCACCAGAGAACCAATGGTTACTTTTTCCATGTAAACATTTACACCTCAAAAATCAGCAAACACTACAGATCAAGACTTGATTTATTGTTCTGTTAGTTGTCTAGACTCAAGAAACTGATAGGAAATTGTTAATAATGTAGATTAAACTTTTACATTTGTAAATGTACACTTGTACATTTTTTCTAGAGAGTTGTTGTTAAACATTTACCAGCACACCCTTACCCAAGTCCACCTTTGAGAGACTGACACCTGAAATACATATGTGAAAACCACCCACGTCTACTTGTATATGACTTTGAAAGTTTACCAAGTAGTTTCCCCATAACAACCTTGTGCAATAAGTCTAAGTAATCTGAAAACTTTCATTTTTAAAAACAGAATGTATTGAAGGAAGGGATTTTTCATCTCATGGTACAAAAGAGTAACAGGTTATTCCTGAAGAAATAATACCTAGTGCACTAGACTACAAATAAAATCTTTAAACAGGAAAAGTAGCTATGGGCTAAAATTTATAAGTATGTGTGTCTCTATATCTATATCTAGATATAGACACATACACATGTGTCACATTGAATCACAACTTATTAATAAGAAACCTTTTCTTTCCTATGACAAAATTCTGAAAAGACCTGTTGCTATAGAAACTATTTGTGCAGCTTTAAGTCTTTCAAGGGAAAGCAGAGTACCTCTGGCAACCACAGGATATATCGGGCTTTGTGTGGATTTGCTCTGCCTGATCAGGTTTATTGATATAATGATGGGTTGTTTTTTGCGGGGATTTTTTTAGGTGGAAGGGGCATAAAGGGAAACTAGTAATAGTGATACCAATAAAAAGAAGAAAAAGAAAAGAATATCAGTGAAAATTTTTTTAAAATACACTAAAGAAAATAGAAAGTTCAGGAAGAAGCACAGATATACAGACAGCTTCAGAATCAAGATATTGAATTTGTTACATGTTTTGTTAAAAGCATACTTTATATCAAATAGATTCATGATTTCATATGCAGTCTTCTTTTTCTATTCTTTGTATATGTTTACTGATGTTTGTCAAGTTTATACATATATACACATATACATACACATATATATATCAACACACATATACACAAATGCTATGTGTATACGTATGTACATATGTGTGTATACACAAACATATTTTTATATATACACACACACATACATATATACATACACACACACACACACACACACACACACACATATATACATTTAGAGACATTGTGCCTGCTAGGACCTAGAGTACCAGCAATCATCTAATCCAAGCCCCTCACTCAGCAGATTAGGAAGGTAACTGGAAAGAGCAAAGACCAGAGATGACTTTTCTCATACAATGAGAAATTGGCAAAGCTAGATTTCTCCAATCCAACACAGATGTTTCTTCCACTGTACCACACTGACCCTGTGTTAGTCAAGATATTAGGAGAAGGATTCTCAAAAAAATGACTAAATCTTAAAACCCAAACATCTATTACATATCCACTACCATGTGGTGGATCCAACTCACCAGAGCAGAAAATGGAAGGAATTAAGAGGAATTTTATCTGATATTCAAATGACTTGAATTTCTGGTTAAATTATCCAGTTTAAGTTTTGGGTTCAATCTGTACTACAAGAGTAAATTGAGCTTTAATCCAGGTTCATCCAAGAAAAATTCACTTATCAAAGAAAATTATTGTTAACGTTAGCAGAGCTGGCTACAGTGTAGCATCATACTCTGAAAGAGAATATATGTGTGTATGTGTATATATATTATATATATATATATATATATACATACATACATATTTAAAACACTGAACCATGACATACTAATAAGAAACCTTTTCTTTCCTGTGACAAAATCCTGAAAATACCTGTTGCTATAGAAACCCTTTGTACATGTGTTTGTGTTTCAAGGGAAAGAACAACTTCCAAGAGCTGCATTTGTTTATATTTAATTCTTTAAAAAACAGCATGGAAGAAATTAAAGCTATTACATATGTAGTGAGGTGTCTGATCCCCTTCCAAGAAAGTTATATGTTCCTCTCCTTTGGAGAGGGCAGTGCTGGAGACTTCAAGGGAGAAATAGCTTCAACCTTCTCTGAGAATTCTGGGACTCGGGAGTTTTTGCTTATCTTTGTAGCCAAGGAATGATCAAGAAGCTTGGACTGAATTGTTCAAGATTACACAGATAGCTCAGAAGATAGTAGGATGGGAAAAGCAGAGTTTATCAAAGAGGAAGCAGCAGCTGGAAGCAGTAATAAGAACAGGGTCTTGAACAGCATGGGCAATGGTAGCTCTCCAAGGTGCAGAGAGAAAACACCACATGGACCTAGGGCCATTACCTCTGGACATAAGCAAGTCCATCAAACTGCTGGAACTGGGAATAAGATTTCCAACCATAACTCTAGTGAAGGGGAGAGGAAAGGGAAGAGGAAGGGGAACGTGGTGCACAGACACTGAGGCAATAAGTCTTCACTCCTGCCTCACACTGCTAGAGCCAAAAACTTATCAACTCTTCCCAACATGGTTGAAATTCAAGGGTAATCAAAGGTATTCACCATACAATGGGAAGCAGAATGTTCCCTGGAGTTCCATGGTCTGTAGGCCCATGTTCTTTGGATCCATTAAAAATTGGTATTATTTAATCTCAACTGGGCACTCCTTAAAGAAGCAAGGTAATCCTTTTATTCTTCCCCAATTACTTCTCTATTCCATTCCCTGAAGCAGCTGTTTCTTCAAGTCTTCTGTATCACTGACCCAGCTCTCTCACACACCCCCCAAAGCAGTTTGTATAAAATGAAGCTATTTTAGAACCAGAGGGAGAGATTCTGAGGTTCTGGACTTGCTTCATTTGTTTCATTCAGGAATCATGACAGAGCTCCTAGCCAACGTGTACTTTTGTTTGAAGCTTTTCTCATCAACCACATAAACTTACTCTCTCTTCCTGGATTCATGTTTTGGGAGCCCTTGACTCCAATATTTCTTTATTTGTGTCTTATTTGGTCTCTTCATTTTTCCAGCCTTACTTCTGGAACCCAAGCTTTGTATTTGGGCCAACCTCCACACCCTTCTGAAAGGAAAAGTGGCCCTTGTTTGGTCCTGACTTTTATTATCTGGGGTCCTGCTGCTGTTTCTTCTGAGATCTGAGCACCGTGTTCTTCAAAGACCTCAGGAGCAGCTCAGACCAGTAAGTTGTACAGAGTGATGTGATCCAGGGACCAACCTGTTTCCCTCCTGGTCTAAGCCCCACAAATTCCAGATCCCCAAGCCAGAGTCAAAACAACATAACCAACCATTCCTCTAGGTACCTAGATGATCATAATAATAATGATCATGATCATGATCACGATGATGATCACGATAATGCTTTAAAATATTATCTCATTTGATCATTACAACAAACCTAGGGAGTAGAGGCTATTATTATCCCCATTTTATGGATGAGGAAACTGAGGTAGAGGTTACATGATTGCCCCAGGGTCAGTCACACAGCTAATATGTATTTCAGAGGGGATTTGAACTTAGGTCTTCCTGACTTCAAGGCCAACACTCTACTCACTGTGCCACCCAGTTGCTTCGAGATGCAGATTCTAGGTTTGCCTGGCTTATTCCTGATTCACGCTTAGTAGCCTTCTATATACTGTATTCTAGATGTTCTAGGAAACGTAGAGTTGGCTGGCCTGGGGGGTCTCCTTAAATGGAGTCTCTGGAAGGACTTCTCCACTTCTCAATCTAAGGGAGGGGCCCCAGGGGCAGAGGGTACTGAAGAGGTGTGAGTTCCAGGGCTGAAGCAATCTTCTAGGATGAAAAGGTTCTTGAGGGATGATGTCGTCCAAAGAACTGGGGGTTGGGCTGTTGTGCTTTCATTCATCTTAAGGTCTGGTATAATTATTTTTAAAACTATTTAAAGATCTCTGTCTGTAATGAGATTTGTGATAAGGCACAGAGAATAAGCAAGTGTCACTGAGGTTAGACACTACTGCTAACTTTTTTGTGGTTTTTAGAATTTGTATACCTTAAAAGGGCTAGTCACTTCCTTACGTGCCCAGTACTTAATTAAAGCAACTCAGTGCCCCTAGACAACTGGAATGCAGCCTGTCCCAAACAAAACTTGTTCTCTTTCTCCCCACCTTCCATTTTTTCCTAATGTCTCTATGTATTGAGGGCACAGCCATCTTTTTAGTCAGCCAAATTCACTACCTCAGAGTCATACTCATTTCATCACTCTCACTCATCTTTCATAACCACTCGGTTGCCAAGTCTTGTGGATTCTCTCTCTCTCCACACACACATACATACATACCCACCCACAAATACTCTGTGTATGTGTGTATGTATACATATACATATGTACATACACACATATATACACATGTTATATATATATATATATATTGCATGTATATGTGTGTGTGAATACATACATACTGCACATATAGTGTGCATATATATATGGGGGGGTATATTCCATCCTGTCTCTGGAAGTCAGAAAACCTAAGTTCAAATCCTGACTCTGAAACTTATTTGGGCAATTCACTTAACCTCCTTGGATCTCAGCTTCCTCATATGTAAAATGAGAGGTTTAAAGGACTACTATAAATCAGTCAACAAATAAATAAAAAAGTCCCTTCCAGAGCTAGCTCTATGATCCTATGCCATGTCTCCCCATTCACATAGCTACCACGCTGGTTCAGGCTTTTATCATCTCTCATCTGGTTATAATCGGATTGGTCTCCCTAGCTCCTGACACTCCCCTCCCCTTTCCAATCCACCTTTACACATTACCAAATTGCTATTTTTAAAGCACAAGTCTGACCCCATCATTCCCCAGCTCAAAAAGCTCCACTGGTTCCCTGATGTCTCTAGGAAAAAATAGAAACATGTTTGCCATTTAAAGGGCCTCCAGAATCCAGCTCTACCCTTCCTTTCTAGGCTTATTGTAAATTTGTCTCTTTTGTGTACTTTAACTTCCACAAGTATCTAGGCTTGTAAAATGCACACAGTATACAATATTTTATCAACCATCTCTGTGTCTTTCCTTGCACTACCCATCCCTCATGCCAGGGATGCATTCCCTTCTCTTACCTTCCCCTCAGGATCTCTAACTTCCTTTAAAACTCAGCTCAGTTCAAGTACTATCTTCCACAAGAAACCTATCCTGAGCCCCCTAGTTCTTAGTGCTGTCCTGCGGGAAATGAGTTTTTATATATTTCATTTTTCATTTCCTGTGTAGACATTTCTCCCCAAAGGATGAGAAGGAACAGATTCATTTTGGCATTTGTAGACCCAGTACCTAGCACAGTGACTAACACATCCTATGAACTTAATTAATGCTGTTTGAAATGTAAATAGGAAGGACAATAACAACAAAAACCTGAACTATGAGTTATAACTTAATTTGGTCCAAAAGAAGAAAGAAGAAAATGTTCCTCCTCCTTTGCAAAAGCAAGGGACTCTGGGTGTGAAAATTAGCATATATTTTCAGACACAGTTTTGCTGACATGATCTTTTTTCTTTCTTATTCTCTGTTAGAGGAGATGATGGCTCCCTGGATGAAGGAGGTAGAAAGGGATATATACATGGAAATGAAGGTGATGAGAAACAAAGTGGGCAAGTCACTATAAAATGAGGGGGTTGGTCCCAATGGCCTCTAAGGTCTCTTACAGATTTAAATCTATGATTCTATGATACCAAGAAAAAATAAAAATAAATGGTTGGTGAATTGAAGAGTATTTAGCTGAATAAGGTAAGTAGGTTGTCTCCCTAGGACAACCCATCATTGTAGGGGAGGGTTAGATACGACAAAAAACACTTTTTAATGTTTTCTTTTCTTTTCAAAACAAATGCTTATTTGGGATACCAGAAGCAAGATGCCACATGCTACAGTGAAGGCTCAAAACCTCTGTTAAACAATAACATTCAAGGAGTATAATTTTTAAACCTTACTGATAAGATACAAAAGCCTTGTCCCTACTTTCATGTTCAGGGTTTGCTTTGGGGTTTTTTTCCCTGAAAAGAAGATACACAGGTGAATGGGATGACCTAGTGAAGACTTCTCAGTGTAATTAAGGTAATGAGTTCAGAAGGTAGGACAGGGTTAAGAACAGATTTCTGTGAGTTATTTTTTCTTTTAGTGACATATATCAGTAGTTAAAATTTGTCTAGTGGTTAAGTCTTAACTTACTTTTTAATCTTATTCAAATGCATCTTTGTCCCTAAAGGAATCTGGCTCCAGAAAACCCTTAAAAGGTTCCTTATCTACTCCCCTTTTCTCCCTTTGACAGGATCTTATTCAGATGTCTTCCAGTTCCCAGCATGGTCTGTTCGATCCCTAAGACCTTCCAAAACAATTGTAAATTATCTTCCTAACTGCACACTTTTTTTATTGCTTCTTTGACATTATCTCAACAAACTAAGAAATATAGAAATGTATATTATGTCCTTTGTCCTATGTTAAGAGTCTGGCTTGTGAGATTGTGAGCTGAGTTAATGGACAGCTGTGAGGGAGGGGGAGCTGAGTCTTCAGGGTTATATAAGCTGATTTCTACCTCTGTGGGCCGTCTCCAGTCATCAGAAGCTTACTGATGGACTGATGAAGGGACACCCAAATCTCGAGATTTGAAATAATAATAATTATAGCTATAATAAATTAACTTTCTGTTTCTCCTTGTACACCTCTGTGTTTTGTTTTATTTTTAATTTGAGTGGCATCCCACACACAGGCAATATCCCAAATTGTCATGTATCATGCTAATATGCTAATATTAATACATCAAAGGCAAACTGACTGTAGAGTTTATAGACTGTAGATTTCATGCCTAGAGTTGAGGTAATCAATACAGCTAAATGCCACATATTGTAAAGAAGAGAATTTTTTAAGGAAAATGTTCAATTAATAAGTGAAAATTAATAAATTTATATAGCTCCTACGATATGTGTTAAGGATAAGGATGAACTTAAATATTTCCATAATTTTTTTAAAAACTAAAAATTAACATTGACTATGATACAAATAATTCAGGGGCATATTAAAATTATTTAAAATTATAAAGATTACAGTTTCCATTTAGAATAAAGGCAAAGAATTCACAAATTAGTTCTTAGTTATAAATTTTCAAACTTTAAAGAGGTAAAAAGGCATGAAAACAAATAGATATCAAAAAGCAGCAAGAATGGCTTTTTCTCTATCTCTTAAGATGGCAAGTAGAAAAGAGAAGGAAATACTGGAAAGTAATTTGGGAACTATGCCCAAAAAAGTGACTAAACTGTGCATACCCTCTAATATAGCAATAACAATAGTAGGCCTAAATCCCCAAAGAGAACAAAGAAAGAAAAAAAGACTTCCTATGTACACACATACATTTATATATATATCTATCCTATACACACATATATGTATATGTATATGTGATAGGGTTCGGATTTGGACCCCAGAAAGGAAAAACCTTGGACTTTCCGACCTGGCCAAATCTCTAGCATTCCCCTGAGGCTATAATCCCATCAACTAGCCTTTCATTGTGACTACACCCAATCTCACAATTCTCTGTTATCCTTAACCTAGCCTAGCCTTCCATTGTCTTACCTCCCCAAGGCCTCTTCCCACCCTTAATCTTATCTAGGCCCCCATTCTCCCTTGGCCAAGTGGTCCAGGTCCCTGGCTTTCTATTACCTCACAGTCCCCACCCCCACCCCACCACCAGACTACTTGGCCACTCCTAGATCCCTCCCACAGTCTTTCTGTATATAAGGTCCATCTTGTCTCCATTAAGATGCTTGGATTCTTATAATCTAGCCAATAGCCCACTAACATTCAGACTCCTTAAGAGTCTGCCCAATATGACGGATGTTCTAATAAACCTTGTCTTTGGCTGAAAGATGGTTTGGGTTGAATTCTTTCGGACAGGATCCACGTGTTGTAATTTAGGGGTCCCAACACCCCCATAACCCCTAAATTTCAACATATACATACACACACACAGAGCTGTATATCAGTTTTCTGTGGTGACAAAGATTTGGAAAATAAGGAGGCTCCCATTAATTGTAGAATGGAAGAACAAATTATTGTATATGAATGTGATGGAATACAATTGTGCTGCAAGAAATAATGCGGACTGCTTTAAAGAAACCTGAGAAGACTTGAAGGCAAAGTGAACAGAAGCAGAACAATTTATACAATAACAGTTTAAAGTTAAAAACTTTCAAACACTTAAGAACTGAACAACACAATGACCAACCATGATTTCAGAACATAAAACGTGCTCACTTCTTGATGGATTCAAGGTCTAAAATGAGACATACATGCTCTAGACATGGCCAGAGTATTAATTTGTTTTGCTTAAATATTCCTATTTATTACAAGGGTTTCATTTTTCTCTTTTTCATAGGGGCTGGGGGTAGAATTTTGTTAAAAAAACAAAATTAAGATTTTAAAATTTAAAAAAAAAAAGGATAAGACGGCTGGCTCAAAGTCAAGAAGGCTGAAAAGTATTATATCTATAACCCCATTCTGACCCAAAGAATTGACTGATAATCTCAGTTAAAAAAATCTAGATGGTTCCTGGCCTGGTACTGTCTCAAAGCCATTCATTTATTCAGTGGTGAGAAAAATGGGGCTAACTGGAAGATGCACATTCACTGCAAAAAGCCTTCAGCTACAATCTAGTATACCTCCTGGGGCAATTCTGGTCTTGCTGACTATCTATGGCAGGAGCAATTAAGAAGTTTTCCCAAACCAAGGAGCTGGGGCTAGCTACTTGTTGCTGAAACCCACATCATCAAACGCATGACCTCTCTAATATAAAAACACCAAAGAATCTCACTGATATTTACTTACTTCAAGGAGACGCTGGGTAAAGCTAGATAATAAAAAGGAACTCTTCCATGCATGCAAAGAGAAATGTGAAGTCACTATGAAGTCACCCAAGGCCAATCAAAAGGGCAGATTCACAGATCTTATCCCCAAAGCAAGAAAAGTTTCTCAATTCTATAAGGCTGGGGATTATCAATCAGCCAAGAAAAGGGTCTTTAGATGTCTACTTGTCATCTACCATCCCTTGCAAATGAAAAGTTTACAGTTAACACCCCCTGGTCTAGTTAGTTGGAATGAGGGCCACAAATTGAAGAGACAACTTCCTTCCTTGATTCAAAAACACAGACCCTGAGGGGGCAGCTAGATCTCTGATCACTTAATGGGGGGTTAAATTTCTTTCAATACGGATAGAAAATAAGAATTGTGTCACCTCTAAGAAGGAAAGACTAAGAGAAAGAACATGACCACACAGGGCACAGTTTGACAGAAGTACTAAACAGGACTAATGGAGTTTGAGCCTTTGATATTCCCTCCTGTTGTTCTCTTGACTGGGGACCAAAAAGGGAATATGAAGACCTGTTTTGGGCAGCCTCCCTCACACCTCCTCAGATAGGTCCACATGGACATAGTCCAGAAATGCCAAAATAGGCTTAGGAGAGGGAAGCTAATGCCATCCTTTTTAATAAGAATAGTTTTGTGCATTACATTACTAAGATCATCAAGAATTATATTTTTATTACATAATACTTATTACTGATAGAGTTGTATGTCATTGAGCACATGATCCATGTGCTCGGTAGTTCAAACTATATTAGATTGGTATGTTCATTATCAAGAAACATACTTTATCCTAAAAGCCCCCATTAAATTCTCACCTCTAGAGCATAACCGTGTAGTTAATTTGTGGATGTACAAGACCAAGACCAAAAGATCCCAGGAGCCCCAGGCAGTCCAACAGGTTTAGATGGACAACAAACTTAATCACTGGTGATGGTTGGTAGCTGCCTCCCAGTCCCCAGCCTCATTAACACTATGGCTTCCCCTAAGATGTAAGATTCTCTTTCTCCAGTGGAATTTGTCCTTACAAACTGGTGTTTTTCAAACGCATTTCAAATAACATTTATTAAAATATTTGGAATAACAAACAGTAATTAGATTAGGTGATAATGATTTTTCCAATATTTTCATATACGCCTAGTCATGATTATTTGGATTTATATGAGTAATTTCCCTGTACCAATAATCTCTAGTACCTAAACTCATGCTACCCGTTAAAACAGCTGAGAATAAAAGCCAGTGCTAATAAATTAATATACAAATAAGGGTAGTGGTAATCAATGGCTTTTAATCCACTGATGGTGGCTGCTCAAATTACAGACTATTTATATTGCAGTGATATAGTAGGGAATTAATTTGTTTTGTATAACCTAAAGCCTCCAATTTATGGAATTTTTATGGATATTATGGGTTCTGATGAACCTGGCTGTTGAAATCTGATTATATGTAGCCCAGTTATTCTAAATATCAAAAATGTCCCCCCAAAAAGCTTTCACTTCCCAGCTCTGAAAAGTCATGGGATTCTTAGAACTAGGGATCACAGCAGCAGGGATCAGATGACAGCAAACTACAGCCTACGTTCCAAATTCAACCCACCATGCATTTTGGTACATTTTGATTATTCCAGTAATATAGAAGACAAATCATCCAGACCTTCCCATTCTGTGCAACTTTTGTCCATGTTCTCCCATGAACCCTTCACAGGGGGCTCCATCCAATATTGGGGGTGGAACTTTATGTCTCTTGACATTGCATGGGTGCCAGTATAACACTTAGAGTATTCATTGGTCATCACTCACTCTTGTTAAAAGATTGTCCCACCTTCTTTTTCAGGTATATGCCCTTTTAATGGTATCTTTGAACAGCTTCTTATGCACAATTTCTCTTTGATGACCATATATATCTCCAGTATTCTTTGAGTGACCTGTCATTTGAAGCAGTATTATTTGTGTTAAAAAAAAAAGATGAGTCTTTGTTTTATGTGTAGATTTATAAAGTCACTAACATTGACTGGCTTTTTTCCAATTATCAGGCACCTACCCAGCATCTTCCATTCTCAACATCGTGTGTGGGACAGCGACCCCAACCCAAATTAAACTCAGAGACTTCTCAAGGTGGAAAGCAAAGGTTACCTTTATTACAATCTCTCCCAGACATGGCTGTGTGCTCCTCTAATACACGAGAGAGAGAAACCCAGTAACAGGGCCCGCCTTATAAAAGCAATTCTCCGCCTACCATGCAAAGTCTCCACCCACTACGCAAACAAGTCTCCACCCACCACTATCCCCTTACCCCCTTAACTGGGGGTGGGCTTACATTCTAACTGGGAGGTGGGGCTTACATTCTAAGCTTGAAAGTTTCTTCCTATCCCCTTAACTGGGAGGTAGGGCTTACATTCTAGGAGCGAAATTCAAACACAAGGAAAGAGGCCTGACGCCAAGGGCAATCGGCTCAGGTTGGGGGTGACACAGGGCTTATTCTTTCTGTTAAGTGCTTAAAAACAGGGTCTGAGTGGGGGAGGATTTTGAAAGTCGTAATCAAGAATTATTTGACCCTTTGAGAAGCCTTCACTTCTAAGAGTTCATTTCTCACACTACCTTCTGAACTCATTACCTTAATTACACTGAGAAGTCTTAACTGGGACATCCCATTCAATTTGTAAAGCACTTCAGCCAATTCTATTAGTTGGAAATGGAATGGATGCTATTAGGTGCTGAAGATTTTAGTATACTATGCTTGAATAATTCAAGGATCTGTGGTTTCATCTATGTGGATATCCCCTCCACTTGTATTAATCATAATTTATTTTCTTACCAGACAGGACTCCAGACTTCCTCTACCCTGCTCCAGCTCTTCATCCTGAAGCCTCACTCTAGTCCTAGAATTCAGAGACTGGAAGTACCCTCCTCTTTCCCGTGTCATCCCCCTTTGATTAGATGCTTCTCCCAGAACCTCCACTTAAGGACATTTAAGGTCAACCTTGTCTTCATTTCTCACCAGATTTCTCTATCATGCCAGCAAGCTGGGTACCTTCTCTCCCCCATCCCCCACCCACTTTTCAGCTTTCTTCTACTTGATCTCTTCCCCATTATAATATAAACTCCTGGAGGGCGGCAGGAGCTTTCTCTTGGCTTGCATTTATATTCCTAGCACTTGGCCCCACAATTAGTAAGTACTTAATGACTTAATAAATGGTGAGGTGGCCTTGGGAATCAGAAAGACCTAGTTTGAAATTCTGCCTCTAATACATACTAGCTGTGTGGCCCCAATGAAGAAGGCACTTAACCTTTTGGTTCCCCTAAGCAACTCTCTAAGTACTCCAATATCACTGGAGGGAGTTTGATCAACCTAAAATATAAGATTCCTCTTCTCCATGAAAACCCTCTGTACATGATGAAGCTAGAGAGAAGCTGACTCAAAAAAAGAAACCACAAACTAGCCTAGTAAAAATCTCCATGTCACTAATCCTTTCACTGTGTCATGGGTGAAGCCTGCCTCTGTTCAACCTTCCAGTAAATTACTAACAGAAAACAGTAATCGCTTCCAAGAATTTCTGAACATTAGTGCACCAAGCACTTTTATAACGGTGCAGAGAGAAGAAGAGGAAGAAATTTTTCTCCTATACTCAGCCCTAATTAAACTGACCAATCTATAGCCATGATGGTAAAGAGCAGAACTATTCCAACAATGATTGGCTTCAGGGTTTCATATATACATCTACGTTCTAGCAGAATTTTAGAAAAACCTCTCTTTAAATAATGAAATACTTCTGTCAGAAGTTTCCTTTGGGTAATTATCTAATTCAGTACTGCAAATTATTGAGGATTTGGGTAAATAAAACCTTATTTTTCTTCCCAGAAACAGCATTTTTTAAACCTAACCAGCGGAAAGATTAGCAAGAAATCTGATGCAGAAGGTAAGGTAAACTGCATTCATTTTAACTCATATAGTAGACAGGGTTTAATACTACTGAATGGTCTTGAAATCTATGGTTTCAATTATAAATATGTTAAGACATGGAATTGTAAAGAGAACTGGTTTAGTAGCTAAGTACTTGCAGTTGAAATCTAAACTGAGATTACCACTGTTGGCACATTTGTTGTCTTACAAATTGGTACTGTAAGTTAGAATAGGGAGTGCCACATCCCCTGGGCAAATGAAATCATGGGCCAAAAACAAAAACATACCTTGTATAAATTACACAGCATGAGAGTTCATTGTAAAATTAAAACACGCAAAGCTGCATGTGTTATGGTCAGGTTTAAAAGCTGAAGTCCTGAGGATGCTCAATCAACCTTTATTCTTCACCTATTATAGCAAAAGATCCAAAGCAACAAGAGCACATTTCATAACCAGTATCCTGCCATCTCACATATACAGAGGAAGTCACAACCACTGTAGAATAAATCCAATATCCAGGCTTTACAGCTTTAAACCATTACAGTACTTCACCTATCAATTAGCATCAAATGAACAGGTCACAAATCTCCATTGCCTTAGGTTCTCTAATCAAAAAAGGACATAACCACGGGGCTTCTCTACTTTAAGATAAGAACTTACAAATGGATAACAAAAAAAATATAAAATTAATATATATATAAATATATATAAATATGTATTTTAAAAGCTAGAAATTTTTGGAATTAGAACATTATATAATTGTGATTCTGTACAGAAACACAGTCTGTCTTCAGACATTGGCTAGCAGGTTCTTCATAATAAGACTTTAGCTTCCTGTGACACACCCATGCAGTTTTGAAACCTTTCATTTCTTCCCCAGGGGACCTGATCAAACTCTGGGCTTTGAAACCTAACTGTAATAACAGAGTGTTGACATATTCCAATACTGAGGCTGGGTTGAAATTTTTACTTTGGTGTGTGAGTCAGAATTTCTGTGAAGCTTAAATCTGATTCAGCAAATGTACACAAGGATTTTGGAGAGCAGGTGATCTTTTATATACCCGGGGTAAAAAGAAATTTAAGTAGCTGATTGAGGATTTTTACCTACCGTGTAAGAAAAGATTTTCCTTTCCATACAGAAGAGTAGGGAGAGGCGATAAAATATTTAGGAAAGCATCAATAAACAATAAACAAAATCAGTTCCCACCCCTGCCCCCAGAAAATCATTTTCTTTTCAGTCTTCTTCAATTTCTACATCCCCTGGAAGCCAAAAATACAGGCCTCCTTGCTATCCCTCACACAAAACACTTCATCTCCTAATCCTGAGTATTTTTACATTCTGTTCCCCATACCTGGAATTTTCTCCTTCCTTATCTCTCATCTCTTGGCTTCCCTGACTTCCTTCAAATCTCATCTAAAATTCCACCTTTTGCAAGAAGCCTTTCCTGGTCCCCCTTAATGCTAGCCCTCTGTGATCATTTCTAATTTATCCTGCAATTACCTTGTTTAGACATAATGGTTGCTATTAAACTGTAAGTTCTGAGGGCAAGGAATTTTTTTTCCTTTCTTTGTATCCCAAGAGCTTAGTAAAACGTCTGGTACATAGTAATTGTTAATAAATGTTTTTGATTTGGCTTGACTCAGGATATTGTTAACACATGGCTTATTGACTTGAAAATGTAAGCATTGGAACACTATGTCTAACAATTTAATGCTGGATTCAAGGAAACCTAAAGGTAACCATAACTTCTTGTTTCAATTCTTGAAAAATCTTTCTAACGAGATGCAGAAACTTTCCTCAAGAAGATGAGTTCTTATTATTTGTATAAGATAAGTGAGAGAAGGAGAAAGGCAATATGTCACAATGGAAAGAACTCAGGACTTTAAGTCAAAAGAACTAAGATGAGTTCCCAGCTCAGACAATTAGTAAGTACATAACTTTGAGGAAAATCACTTTTTGTGTCTCCGCTTCAGTTTTCACAATTGTAAAATAAAGGAGCTGGATTCAGTTATCTCTAAGGTTCCTTTCTGCTCTAATACCAAACATAAGTTGTTATTTTCACTAGACTTGTGAAAGGAAAAGTCCTTCTACAAATTCAGACGGCATCTGCTCTGCAATTTATTGTCTTGGGCAACAGTAGTCTGCAGTCCTGAGAGTTGCTCAGAATCACAGTCAGGTATATGTCAGAGCAAAGACTTGAAATCAAGTCAGCTGAGAACAGCTCTCCATTCTCCCGCTCCCTCTGTTCACAGTTTACTTATATGAAATCGATTATGGTATACTGATGAATCTAAATGACTAAATTAAACTGAAATCTAAAAATAAAAATTCACAAATCCTTGACAGCAGCTTGTTTTGATACATTTGTTTCTTTCACTTTAATGAAGAATGGGTAGGGTGGAAATGGTGAAAGGCTGCAATCAACCAGTCAACTCCCTTAGAAAACTATAAAGTACTGAAGTCAGGAGGACCTGAGTTCAAATTCGACCTCAGACACTTGACACAAAGTGTGACCCTGGGCAAGTCACTTAACTCCAACTGCCTCACTCCCCCCCAAAAAAAAGAAGAAAGAAAGGAAGAAAGGAAGGAAGGAAGGAAGAAAGAAAGAAAGAAAGAAAGAAAGAAAGAAAGAAAGAAAGAAAGAAAGAAAGGAGGAAAGAAAGAAAGAAAGAAAGAAAGAAAGAAAGAAAAAGAAAGGAGGAAAGAAAGGAGAAGAAAGAAAGAAAGAAAGAAAGAAAGAAAGAAAGAAAGAAAGAAAGAAAGAAAGAAAAAGAAAAAACTAATGTATGAAAAAGTAAAATGACTTTGTATAGAAACAGACATATCTTATCTTTTTTATGACAATAAATATCTATGATTTCAGTAAACGCTTTGACTTTTCCTTCTACAAGATACAGTAATAGCTGGGAGATTATAAAAATCAGTGACTTACATGTACTGACATTTTGAATGTGTTGTAGAGACAATTTGTTAAAATTACTGTGAAGTGACCCCAAATACAAAACAATGTATTCTTTAAAATACTTTTTCTTTTTTTAATAATATTTTCCCAATTACATAAAGAGAATTTTTTAACATTCATTTTAAAAAAAAATTTCAGTTCCTATGCCCAAAGGACAAACTGCATATCCTTTGATCCACTACTAGGTCTGTATCCCAAAGAGATCATATGGAAAAGGACCTACATGTACAAAAATATTTATACTAGCTTTTTTGTGGTGGCAAAAAAAATTGGAAATTGAGGGGATGCCCATCAATTGGGGAATGGCTGAACAAGTTGTGGTATAGGAACATGATGGAATACTATTAGGTTATAAGAAATGCTGAGCAGGGGGATTTCAGAAAAACCTGGAAAGACTCATATGAACTGATGCAAAGAAATGAGCAGAACCAGGAGAGCACTGTACACAGTAACAGCAACATCGTAGAATGGCCAACTCTGAATGACTTAGCAATACAATGATCCACGATAATTCCAAAACACTCATGTTGGAAAATGCTATCCACATTGAGAGAAAGAACTGATGGAGTCTGAATGCAGATTGAAGCATACTATTTTCACTTTATTTTTTCCTTTAACTTTCTTTAATTTTTAAAAATAAATGTTTAAAATTGTCTTTATATGTGATTGGAAAGAATAAAATACTATTTTTAAAAATTTGCATTCCAAATTTTCTCCCTTGCTCTCTCCCTCCCTTAAACAGTAAGCAATTTAATATAGGTTATATACATACAATCATGCGAAATACAATTCCATATTAGTCATATTGTGCAAGAAGGCGCAGACCAAAAGAGAAATATTCTTTAAAATAATTTAATACAATTACAAACTTTAACTATCAGTTATATAATATAAATATAACTCTATATAAATAATATATACAATATATATAAATAATATAATATATATAAATAATATAACTCTATATAAATAATTTATATAAAATAAATATAACAAAATATAACTATCAGTTATATAAAGTTTCAAGTCTTCTGAATTACTAAACTCAGAAGTATAGTAATTGATTTTCTCTTAAACTATGCATTTCTCAACCACTCACTGTGGTCAACTCAGAGAACACGTGATCTAAAGCAAGGGGTCAAACACCCAAACCACAACATAAAGCCCATGACACTCTCAAGTGGTATGCTAACCAAATTTAAATTGGGAATTATTTTTTTAAAATATAACATTACATTTTAAATGTAAATCAACATGCAACCCATAGGTATCCTTGTATAGCCCACATTTCTATTTGAGTTTGACACCACTAATTAAAAAGGAGAGCAAAAGTGGCCCTAGTCAAATGAACAACAGCCAAAAGTGGCCCTCATGACACACAATGACCTAGTCATATGAACAATGGCCCAAGAATAAATATGATCCTTCCTGCTAACTGCACTGTCACAGGCAGAAAAGAAGGTTCTTGGATTAAGCTATGCTGAAAACTCTGTGAAAAGTAAATGACAAAGGTCAGAAACAGAAGACCTCATTCTGGAACTGACATTAGAAGAAATGAACATAAAACATTCTAACTGAAGAGAAACATAAAAAAACAGAGAATATGGGAAAAGTGAAGAAGTTATATATGAAAGACATGATCTATACTACATGAAAGGCTAGTGTCATGATGAAAATTTTTAAAAAGTAAACAGAAAGCCTGGATATTGGTTTCAAGGACTATAGAAGGGCTTTAAAAAATGTTAGCAACAGTCCAAATCTTTCTAAATAAATCTTTTAGAGTCCATTTAAGCTACCACATTGTCCATGAAATCTTTCCTATTTCAGCCACAGTGTCCATGAAGTCTTTCCTGCAACACTTTCCTCCCCCCTTACAAGTTGTCTCATACTTACTCTGTTTGGATCTCTCCTACGTGGTTTACAATAAAATGTCACTTTAACTAATGCCAAAATCCCATGGAAGCAAGTTGACAAATGCCTACATGGTGTGATTTAAAGAAGCTGCTCTACCCCCTCTCCCCAAAAAAGGCTTTCAATGGTGTCTTAAATTTTATCATTAGTGATCACCTCCTAAAATACAAA